CTCGGCCTCCGCTGCCCCGCGTGCAGTGAGGTGGGGTTAACGGCTCTGCCCTCGTTACCGGAGCTGGGCACGTTGCAGACTGGGCAGGGAACAGTGACCCTCCCGGCGCTTCGGGGGGTCAGGGGGAGTCCTGGCACACAGGGCACCCTTTTTCACCCCCTGGATTTCTGTGGCTGGTGCAGCCGTGGAGGGTGCAGCATTAACTAACCCCTGGGAGAGGGGAAGGGCTGGCACTATTGGGGGGAAGCCTCCAAAAAGACATTTGAGAATGTAGGTAACGTAGATCATTTCTCAACCCTAAAAGCAGACAGGGTGAGAATAGGACCCCGTTTGAAAGTGGAGGCAGACTTTCTGAGAAGAAAGCAACAGCCCTAGCTTACGTCTGATTCCTTCGCTGCTGTACATCGTCAAGGGAGCAGATTTAGGGGATTCAGTAAAGCAGAGACCTCCCCATCCCTGGCTGTTTGCTCCTGTCTTGACTGAGGTTCCACTTAGATTTCAAAAAGCAGCTAATTCTTCAATGCTGAGGCAGCCTCAAGACAGCAGCTACAGGAACAGAAAGGGGGTGGAAGTGCCAGGGGCTTGAATATTCTTATGCACCATCTTTCATGGGATATAAATAGACCACTACTCACCTGAAGTTTTTCGTCTTGGTCACTGTGCTCAGCCAGTGCTTCTGAAGGGACTTTAATCCTGCCAATTGCTGGAGTGAAACCCATCACAAATAGGGATGCGGATGATCCTCAAACACAAGCAGGAATTAAAGACAGAGTGATTCACATGCTACACCAGCCTGTTTCAGCAATAAAGCAGGCGTCATGTCACGGCAGCTTCTGCGAAGCTTGATGAAGATGTACTGGTGGAGGCACGTGCGAATGTCCTCAGTTCAGAGGCAGAAAGGCAAACCTGCTCCTTCCATCAACTCAGGAGCTCCTGGAGTTTGGGGAGATGGCTCCCAGGGCATTAAACACAGTATCACCCCAGGTAATTGCACTGTGGCAGCACCAGCAATCCCCGGTGCTGAGAGCCATACAAACACAATGAAGACACGGTCTTACCCTGCTGAGCTAAAATGACTAGGAAGACAAAGAAAGATTTATTGCTTCTCTTTGATAGGTGGGAATTATGGGGTAAAGAGATTAAATGGCTATACTTAATCCCTGGCCACACAGCCACAGAACAGTGTCCCGGGCTGGGAAGACTCTTGCTGGGCAAGGCTGAATCTACGATGAGCACACTACGTGTATGATCAGCTCCCATGGGCCAGAACTGCTGAAGGAGGGAGCAGTTTTTGAGAGAGGTTTTCAAGTGATGTTCTCTGCAGCTCAGAGTCGAGACTCCATGGAGGAGCAGCCTCAGCATGGGCCTGGGGGATTTTAGGGGCTGTGGTGATCCACACACGGCTGATTCATCTCCCCTCTTGCACTCGGTGTCACGGGCAGACCCCATTCCAGCAGGTACCTTCAACCCAGTGATTCATCTGAGGCAGTGCAGGGAAATGTCCATGAGGAACCACATAAAAGGGCTTGAAACTGCTGTCTGAAGAGTTGCTTTTAATGAAAACCAGAAAAGGTTGTATAAGGCCTGGAAACACACATTTCCCCCGATGGGAAGTCAGTGATGAGCTTCTCAGCCATCCCCAGCAGTAAACTCTCCAACTAACTATGCCAGGGAGGGTCATTCACTCTAGCAAGCAGGCCAGGATTTTTTTTATGTGCAGCCCAAATTGGTAAAAAAGGCAAGTTTCCTGGGCCCATAAGGCTTGTTGGTGACAGATAGCTTAAAGCAATCCTAGCTGTGGTGCAGAGGACATACTTGTGGGATCCAGTTTTCGTAGCCTGGATCCATTCTGGCACCAGCTTACTCCTTTTGGCTCCGCAGAAAAGGGCCTGGACCCATGGGCACAACTACCCTTCACCCAGAACAGCCTGTAAGATGCTCTGTGCTGCCTTTGCATTTACTCTGTCTCTGTGGCTCCTAGCAATCATTACACCATCACTCTGATCCACAGCCACTGGGAGCATCTCGGATTCCCAGGTCTCTGCTCTCACCACAGGAATCTTCTTCCCTTTCATCCTGCCCAGCTCCCAGCACCTCTGGGGAGCACCAGAGCAAGCCCCAGCCCCCATAAGGGTCATCACCAAGCGTTTGGAAAGAAGCACTTGCTGCTGCAACCGAGTCCTAATTCTCTAAAAGCAAAGCAGCAGGACGTTTATTGACCAGGGTGAGAAAAGCTATACCTAGGCAATAAAAGTTATTATGATAAAGGAACAGACTGTACTTTCTGCTCTCTGAACACCTTCTGACTCTTTGACAGCTTCTCACCAGAATAATGCAATAAAACTCACTTACACTGAGCATTTTCTTCTCCTTTTTCTTTGTTCTATTAGGGAATTATTTGTTACTTTTTTTCAACACTTAATTGCACTTCCGAGAATAGCTGTTTGGCCAGATGCTGTGAGTACCTCAGAAGACTTTTTGGATCCCAGTCTTAGGAGACTTAGCCCATAAACAGCTTGTAGAACACAAAAAAAATTAACAAGTCACAAAAAAATCATCAAGTTCAGTTTTTCTCATAGGTATAGTACAAATGCCAGTTTGTGCCATGAACTAATATTTCCAACATCATCTGCCAAAAAAACCCACCTGGTCATTCAATTAACGAAATGAATTTAATGAAAGTCCCCAGTATTTCCTGTGGAGAGATTCCCTGAGAAAGCATAAAATGATGCATTGAAATTCACGCTTTGCTCATCACTTGGGTTGGCTGCTGGACCAGAGAGAGAGGGACTTGGTCAGAGCATCGCTCCTGATGCTCTCCGCTGCCTGCCTCCCCCTCCTTGCAGCTGGCTCTTGCAGGCAGCAGCCTCCTGTGCTCCGTGGTGCGGAGGGAGGACACGCTCCTGGCCTCCAGCCCTGGCAAAACATTCCCGGAGGTGAGCCGAGAGATGCTCCCGGGCCCTCCCTTGCTCGTCCCTCAACCCTTGTTAGGAGATTCCCCCGGGCACAGAGCAGAAGTCAGTGAATCCCTCCCGGCCCGACAATAAGCCCTGTGCTGCTGAGCCCCGAGGTAGAGCGTTTGCTCCCTTACACAGCTCTGTGTTCTGCCTTCAAGGAAAATCTCTCCTTTTGCTCAGGACTGAGGTTTAAGGAAGATAAAGGATGCCCCTGGAAATTGGCTGTCACATTTGCAAGGCTCTTTTGTAAATCTTCGCTGCCGCCTCTTTTTTTCCCTATTTTACTTCTTGTGCTTGTCAGAGTTTGTGATTCTTCCCAGAGGCTCAAATATAATATTTCTTTCCCTGCGTCTTTGCTCCCCATGCTAGCCTGTTCCCCAAAGGGTGCAATGTGGGGGGACGTTGCTGAGCACAAGCCCGGGAATGGGGTGCACTGCAGCCAGCAGAGAGAGCCAAAGAGCACAGATTGTCCTATTTACGGTCTGTACCTGTAAGAGCAGATGCTTAGGATGGGTGTCCTCTGTGCTAGGGGCTG